GCGACATTCAATGTCCATCTATCAACGCTTCGGTGAGGAAAAATGCAAGCAATTTTCCTGGATAGGTTTCCCTTCAAAGCCAGAGCCCCAAGAGGCTGTAAAAATAGAGTTGGGGGAAGGCAGGGAGGGTGGGGGTGGAAGGGTGGAGGGTTACACCTGCCCCGTTCCAGGCAGTTCAACAGAAACTAGCTGGTTCAGCCTGATTAAGCCCTCTGCATTGTGGTCTTAGAAGCATGCAGCAATCGATTTTAAGGTTTGGGAGTGTGCAGTGCATTGATTATGTGTTGGAGTTTTCACCGTACTTTGCTTTTGATGAAAAGAGTCTGAGAAAATAATCTGCTATTTGTGCTGTACAAAATACAAACTCTTCGGGGAGGGCTGTGGTAAAATTTTATTTTAAAGAAAAAAGTGTTTATGTGATTAAAGCTGAGATAAGCCTACAGTTTCTCTGAGATGTGACGCCCCCCCCTTTTTTTTTTTCCTTTTTTTTTGCCAAATTGCCAGGAACAGTTAACAGAGGAGAAAGAAATGAGGAATCATTTTGTGGGAAGTCAAAGCTTGTCAGTAATGACTGTTGTTATCTTTGTTTCATGGCTACCTCTGCTGTCTGCCAATTGCGGGCTTTTTTATGTCAACTATTTGAATTGAGCTGTATGAGTGAGTGAGTCTATGCAGCCAACAGCACACCCACCCCGACTACTACTAAATTATTTTCTTGTATTAACACCCCCCTCCGCCTCCCCCCGATACTGAAATAAAGCCAGTTAATTGAAGAAAACACAGCTCGGTCCTCTGATAGCAGATGCAGGGTGCTTCATTAATGTTTGTGTTGACTGTCAGAGAGTAATGCTGGTCCTCATTGCTCTTTAATAGGACCAATTAGCCCATGCCCCCATTTCCATGCTTAATGTCTCCTATTTAAGTGCTGAATACAGAATGCACACATTTAACCACCGAGGGGCTGTAAGGCATCAAAAGGTTGCAGGCTTTTAGTGATTCCTGTTTACGCTGTCAATTAACAGCAGGCATTCAGACATTTAAGCTCTAATTACTTTCAGAGGCGTAAATCCTAAGAGTGAAAATGATGGAAAAGTGGCTGAATGTCGTCTTACGGAGGATTTTTTTTGTTCAAATGTGTTGTGCCCTCTCAATCCCGTATGTGCGATGTGATCAGACGACGGCACCACACTACATCCCCTTTTTAATGGTGGAGACTAACAACATTTATGTTCTTTATTACTGAAACAGACATGAGGGTCATACATGAGGCAGGGAGCTGTCAGGAATAATTTTTGCTGGTATTTGACAACAGGTTCCTGTCATCTCCAGTATTTATCATTCCACTATAGCATGGTGGAGTCTAATCTCCACTTTGAGTATTTCTTTTATCAAGTTAAAGTCTCACATTTCTAATTGGACAGCTGATCCTGATATTGACGCTTACTGTGTGTGAAAATCATTGTCTGTCTCTGCCTGTAATTAACAAGTGTTCATAAACATCTTTTCGAGAAAAGCAGCCATAGCGCGCCAGTTTATCACCCGGAAAGTTGCCACAGCTTCCACAAATAAAAATCCACTCTAAACATGTTGGTCTCCCTTTCAAATATGTGAAGGACTGTATAATCTACTACAACTGTCACCAGGTGATGCAGTATATGCTTGAGGTTTGAGGAGCAGGGTGGTACCTCAACTGCACCTCTGCCAGCTTTTCTGTAAATTCAAATCCGACTATTTCCTCCTCTTTGCTCTCACTTTTCACACCACTCCGTCCTCCTCTTTTACTCTGCTTCTGAGTGGGTTTGTCGTGCCAGGGTGTAAAGGCAAATCTTCCAGGAAGCTCACCAAAACAAGTACAAGAAACTCAAAGTTTGGCAATTAAAATCAACTGAAAAAAAAAAAAAACAGAGATCTCCAGTTTGCATGGTGTTGACAGTGTGGTCCCTGCTAATGAAAAGTTACCTTACATCAGCTCCATGCCGCAACCCTTTAAAGATAAATGATAAAGATCATAGATAGACTGAAGTGTTTCAGTGGGTTCAAACCAGAAAATAAAAAGCAAACCCAAGAATTAAATGTCCCATTTTTTTAATTTGTGAAAAATGTTGGTTTAGCCAAACATAAAAAGACAAATTTGACACCTCTCAGTCCAGATTCATTTTTCGTAACATCTTTGAAAAATTCACTCGCGTCTGAAGTCAAACACCCCGAGACGTCATGTCGAACCACAATTTTTGCTTCCCTAATTTGTGTTTATCTCATCTTAACTTTCAAAAAATCTAGGTGTGATTTTGTTGAAGTCTGATGGACAAATCTCTCCTCTTATTCGAAAATGTTCTTTTTCCAAGCTAAAACATCTTGCTTAGATGAACTTTTCTGTGTCTTTATGACTTTGAAAGAGTGATCAATGCCCTCGTAACATACAGGTTGATTGCTGAAAATATCTGAATTTTGGTTTGGATAAGAGGTCTGTCCAGCCACACACCTACTGAGAAATTATGTGATAAAACTTGACAGATTTTAGCCTTTTGACTGGCTTTGAGTCCATTTAAGGACAGATTTCATTGATTGTGATCCTTACTGGTCTTTTGCATTATTACACTGGATGATAAACAAGAGAGAATCAAGTGTTTGCAGTGGCTGCTCTGTATCCATATAAGTTCTGCTCAATTTTGATATTTTTAAGCTGCGGCTACAGGCCCATTTCTTCCCGATAGCTTTTAATTGAAACTTTTTTCTTTATTCTTTTTGCTTTCAGTACTGTCCAGCAGCTCTGTCATCGTTGTGTTTATGGTTTTATCTTAGCTTTTATTTTTCTGCTCCTATTTTATCTGATATTTTTCTCTAGTATATGTCTATTCTTGTGTATGTAGGTGTTCTTTATCTCCTTTCATTTTCACTGTCTCCTGCTGGCACAGCACTTTGGTCCCCATGAGTTATTTAAAAATTTCATAAATAAATCCAACTTGTCTTTTCCTACATGTTTAAAAGTTTCCTGGTCAAGGGTTTTGAAGTTTCTTTAGGTGGATAAAATCTCTAAACCTCTGAAACTTTTGCATAACCTTCAGATAAAAATAAATATCCTGCTGGTGCTAGGATGTTTGCTCTTCTGGATAGACCTCCACTGATAAGAAACACAAACAAAGGTGCAGTAAAAATAAGTGACAGTGTGTGTTATCTGTTAGACTGATGAAATAAGCATATTCATGCACACCAGCTTTCATTTGAAAAATATAAAACTTTAATAAAGGCTACATCTCTCAATAATTACAATAATTATAGGTCCATGTAAATCTTTAAATGAAACTCTTTATATAATGTATAATTTACAGTTTAGATAGAATGAAACAAAACAAAACTAAAAAAAGCCATGGTGTAAAAACAAAACCAAAAAAAAAAAAACATGATTACAGGTTATTATTAAAAGCATAAAAATATCTTCTCAACAAAAAAACCCTTCTGAAAACCAAGGGATATATATTAAAACCCTGAAACAGGGTAGCACATGGTATGGCATCCATGTAGGCACAGGTGCTGTACTCATAAAACACCAGCGACAGTGTGTGTATCCTGAATGTGTGTGTGTGAGTGTGTGTGTGTGTGTGTGTGTGTGTACATCACATAGGTCTGTATCCATACCTCAGAATGCATAATTACAATGTATACAGGAGCTGTGCTATATACGATGTTACTGTAACAACATTCAAGGGATAGCGGAGCCATAGTTCTTCAATGTTCACTTTTTAAAAACTTTTGCTGTTGTTGTTGTTGTGTGTTTTTTGACAAGCTAGCTAACTTCATCAAGAAGTCATTCTCAGTGACCCAAACTGGTTCTTGTTAGCACATGTTATTTTGGTGTGTGGGCTGTAAACACTGCCATTATTAGGTGGTACAACTTGTGCTTCAGGTCTCCTCGCTGTGTGTATCTGCAACTGTTATAACCCCCCTCCCCCCGTGCAATGCCTGGTTTACAAACAAAGGCACAACAAAAAGATTGAGCTCTGTCGCCGGACTGAGGGAAAAAGAGAGGGAGGGGGAGACAATGAGGGAGAGGAAATACTAGTGTGACAAAGTTAACATTACAAACTATCAGCAGCATATAAGACTCAGATTGACCATTAGATTAGCGGAGGAAGCGTGCCTCGGACAGACTCCTGCTAAGGTTGTTAGTTTGGGTCATACGGGGCAACAAGGCTATTGGAGGTGCTAGGCTAGTGTCACGTCCTCTGTGTAAAGTAATAACGAACAAAAACAAACAGTATCACCACAGTATTCTCCCAACATTCAAAGCAGCTTGCCCATTGGCTGGAAACAGGGAGGGGAAGGGACACAGGTTTAAGAAGACTTGGGTAAGGGGGAAGGAGTGGGTTGTTTTCAATAAATACTTAATAAAAATGTTCAACTCATGACAAAAGCATCTCTTTTTATAATACATGTATATATACATATATGCAGGTATGTATATGCACATGTACAGACGTTTTTGTGATGACGTTGGAGTGTAAGAGCAGGTTGGTGGCATTTTTCCTCGGCGCTTGCTAGTCCGTCACACTCGGCCTGCAAGCCTGTGTGAGTGCACCTTCAGTCTCTCGTCACATCATGACAAAACAGTCTTTTACATCTTCAGTGGTTATATTCAAGAGGAAGCGGGGTCTCTCCAATCCCCCACTGGCCTCCAATCATGATCATCATCTTCCTGGTGTTGGTCTTGAAAAGTCTCTCTTGCCATTCCCTTGTGTTTCTAAGGCTAATTGGTTGATAAAGTCAGAGAGGGGCAGGACCTCCTGTGTGTTCGGCATACTTCATTGGCTCGTCTTCCTTCAATCACTCCTTTTGTGCTGGATATATTAACTCTGTTTAGCTTAATATTAAGAAATAGAAATTTAAAAAAAGTCCAGAGTGTTGATTTTAATTACACAGAGTCTCTTGCTCACGCTTTCAGGGACAGTTTAGCTATTGGTTTGGCAGGGGAGGGCATTGGTTGGTTTGCAGCGAAGCGGCTTTTAGTCCATCCTCTCAACCTTGCCCAGGACTTTGCCCTCGTACATGGGTAACACAGTGGCATCTTCCCACACTTCCTCGAACACGGCACCGCACTCGAACTCATCGCTTGCTTTCTTGAAGTAGTACCTGAGGAGAAAAAAAAAACAAAGACAGAGGTCTGTGATTAGAAAAAGTTGGGCGTAGGTGTGTGTGAGAAAAGAAAAAAACAGAAATTGAACTGGAACGAAATCTGACAGAGTGGCAGCAGGAGTGCATCTGATATATTTCATCGTGTTTTAAAACCGCTTTGAGGCACCTACGCGACTACTTCCACATACAGGCTCGCGCACAACTCCCTTTAGTCCAAATCAAACACAAACACACGCACTTTGAGAGCCAGAAATGGATCCTGCTCAAAACAACTTAGTCATAGCCTTCAATGCCATCCCTGCACACTTCAAAGAGTGAGCCTGACTCCACATCACACCGCTGCACAAACAGAGCTGAACCCTCCGTTTAAACACTCCCTGTGATAATTCAAGCTGCTAGAAACAGCCTGTTTGTCAGTGTGTGTGTGTGTGTGTGTGTGTGCTCATCCATGTGTGCTTGTCTCCTCATCCACTTGTTCATCCTGACTGCTGGCTGTTCTACAGATGCCTATCTGTCCTGCAAGGTCTTATTAAAGTTGAAGGGTTAATTAGAGGCTGTCTTGAGCCCCCTCTGCCTTTCTGTGCAGCAGCGCCCCCCTCCCTCTCTTTGTCTCCATGGCTTCTAATTGGACTGGCTGTCAAATGAAGGGCCTTTCTGTCACACAGGTTGACATTCCAGGTGCCTGAGAGTCTGCCTGCCACTGCAGGAGCACACTCTACTGCCCGCACATCAACACGCACATGCCCTGTGTTTCTAGCTAACACACACAGTCTCACACACACACTGTCTCTTTAGGCAGCTCTGCGATCACCAGCGGAGAACAGAGGAAAGGAGAAAGGAGTGAAAGCAGGGGGAAGAGGAGATCAGGCCTTCCCTGGCTCTATGAGAGGGTGTGATCAGTTGGATGTAGGCCGAGCTGGAGGAGCTCTACACCGGGAGGGGGCAGGGTGGCCACCGCTCAGACAGTCTTCTGGAGGTCATGGGTCACCTAGCTAGCCCACTCTTCTTCTCTCAAGCAGAGAGAAGTCCCAGGGTTAGCTCAGTTCGAGCAACTATGAAGTCTCCTGGAGCTCCTAATGATTTCTCTTCTCTACTTTAGACCGAGCAAAAGATCAGCAGGAGGGGATTTAATGATAAGCTTTGTAATGGAAAAATGCCTCATTTTGCCCATGTGTGCCTGTGTTCAGAATACAAAAAAAAGAAGTAAAGAGAGGGAAAAAGCTATGTGTTTTATGAGCTCCGAGTCATTCAAACAACACATGTAAGGAGGGCTGAACACAAATAGGCACACATACAGTTTTATTTTCCATGTTGATTGTAATTACAAACAAATGGAGAGGGAGTGGACTGCCTTACCCAGGCAAAAAGACTTCCCAAAAGAGTGAGCAGAGATGAGACACAGGGGTGATAGCATTTCAGCAAAATTTCCTCTGTTGTCTAAACTCTGCTGAGCATTTGATCTTCATTAGAGGAAACCAAGTGATTCTATTATACTTCTCAATTTAATTGGCTGGGTATTTTTTTCAGAGGAAAATGCAACATTTTCACTCACAAATAGTTCAAAGTCATCACTCTGTTTCAGAGAGTGAGAGACAGAAGAAGTCTTTCCACTGGAACATGTTTTATGTGGCAGGATTTTTCTCTCTTCGCAACATCTGGCACCAATATCGTCTGGCAGAGCTGCGGCGTACTGTTCTCCACTGTACCGCTGCCATGTCCAAATTAACCAACTCCACACATTCTGCTGCCATTGAAGCCAGGCGCTTCATTCCTACCTCCCCCTTCTCTTTGCTTGCTGAAGAGTTATGGGATAGCAGGGGTGCACAGACTTGTTTGCAGGCCTTCCTCTGTCTTGCCTAACAAGCAGATGTGGCTGTAACCTAATGTTGATGTGGGCATGGGCATTCAGCCTTTGTGTCTCTCAGTGGGATACAACCTACGCTGTCCTGGAGCAGTCACTTGATTAAGCAAGCCTAGACTCCAGGGTCTGAATGTTTCTTAACTTGCCATTATTTCTTAAATTACTCAAGAAGTCCTGACAATGTTGAGGAATTTCCCCCCATTATTTGACATTGACAGGAGGTACTTTTCTCTGTTAACTGCTATAAGAAGAAAGCGCTGGCGGCATCTGATTTTAATGCCTGATGCAATAGTGTGGAGGAGGAATCTGAAGGCCTTGCAATGGTCTTTGTGCACAAAATAAAATGTCCCAGGCTTCAAAGCCATATTTATTAAGGCTGCCTTACCATGGAAATCAGTACCAGATGTGAGAAAAAATTCGCTCCAGACCCCCTCCTCCTCCTACTCTCTCTCTGTAAGCCCTGAATACAGCGGATCAGCCCAGTTTCTCTTCAACTATCAACCTCCAAAATTTAACACTCCCACTCAGCCGACAAGCAAATGCAAGCACTATGACAAATGTACGCTCATACACAGTTATTTCCCTCTAGTTAAGCACTAACCACATCCAACAGGAATGGGAAAAGCATCTATCTAAGTCGAGGTTATTGTTCTTAGATCTGCTGTAGGTGCTTTGTTTTTACCTGTAATTTCCTTTCTTGCTGAGCTGATCCTTGAAGTGTCCCAGGGTGAGGCAGTGGGTCTTCATCATGCTGCGATAAGGAATCTCTTCCCCACAGAAGAAGTAGGTGACCACGAGCTCCTTTGACCTGAAAATGAGAAATAAAACCAGTTTATACCTGCTGCATTTTGAGAAGATGGGATCTGACCGTGACATTTCCAAAATAACTTTGAACTTTTCCCCATTGCATCTGAAAGAGGCCATTACATTTAGGTTGCTGTGGCTTAAAATAAACCACTCCAACCAAAAACAAATGTAAGACCAGGTTTGAATCCTTTTCAGGAACCAGGGGCCACTTTACACATCTTTGTTGTGTTCCAGTGGTGAGTTCTGGGAGACATGTGGGTAGCTGGGATTTAGTATAAAAGCATGTTTAATCTTAAATGATTAAAAGGCTGGAGAAGAGGAGTTCAAAGACACAGCTATGCTGACTCACAACATCTCTCTTTGAAGGGAAAAGCAAGAAAATCTGAGGGAGGGGGTGAAAACATAAGCTTAGAAAGAGAGGGAATACTGAAAAAAAAATCTATGTGTACGGGAAATGACTTCTGGCAAGCTAGAAAGTGATTCAGATAGAAAGCAGGGAAAAGGGAGGGATAGAAACAAAGACAGGATTGTAGATTTGAAAGGACAGCAGTAAAAAAGGCAATGCATACTCGTCTGTTGGGAGTCCAGGGCTGGCCAGAGGGCTGCCTCCAGTGGGGAAAGCAGCTGCTGGATGGCTCCTGTCTCTCTGTAGGCTGCTGGCTGCTGTTGAATGTCTGTCAAAATCACAGAGATTAACATTTGTGGTGAAATCAAGAAACACAGTCTGATAATTTATATTTGATTTGTGTTTATAATATGTAGGAGGCAAACTCTGCATCCTGGGTGAGTGCTGGGTCTTGCCTACCTTTGTTTCGGCGGCTTGGAGACCTCCTCTAACCTGCGACAGGCTTCTTCCAGCTGTGCCAGCGTGTTAGGTGGGGGCAGAGGTGGCATAGCTGGGTCCTGGATGAAAGGGTGGCCGGGATGGTGGCCACGAAGGTGAGCCCCGCTGCCGATGCCGCCTCCACCCCAAGAGGAGTGTGTCCGACTTTGCAGGGCTTTGGAGTCGAGTGGATTGGACTTCTTAAGACCTTGAGTGCTGTTTGAATGAAAAGATCATGAAGAGAAGATGAGCTGGGAGCTAAAGACAGCAGTTTCATGTGGTGCTCATGGTGTTCGTGGTGATTTCTGACAGGCACATACCTGTGCGGCTTGTGTTTGCCTTGTCTCTCACTCTCTAGGATCCACTGCCAAACATTCTGAGAGCGGTCGGTTGCATCAAGGGGAAGGCGAGGCGAGGACACGCCCTCCTCTGTGGCCTTGGCTGGCCGTCTGGACAAAGTGCTGCAGCGACTGGAGGAAAAATAAAGAGGAGGTCAGGACTGTAAACAGGAAGGTTTGAAACTGCAAAAAGAGGACACCAACTATTGTCCAAGACTGACTGTCAGGACATATGAGCACAGCCGAGAGGTTCCACTTACGCTGGGATGAAGTCGGAATAATTGGCGCCCCCTGGAGGGCAGAGGCACTGCACCCGCTGAGCCGCCTCGGCCTCAATCTGCTCCTTAGTCTTAGGCCCAGCGTGGTGATGGTGGATGTAGTGGTGGTGGATGTGCTTTGTGGACTGCCTGCCTGTCATCAGAAACTTTGGGGCCCCGGGATAAGCACCAAAAAGGGGCCCATGTCCAGAGGACACTATTTCACCTGTCCGATCTGGTGAGCTCGAGCGTGGCGAGTGTCGAACCACACCTGGTGACTGGCAGCCTGGCGTCTTCAGGACTCGGGAAAGGTGCTCATCCAGGATAGCCTGGGGGTCTTCCTCACACTGGCTGCCTGATGGGAGCAGAGGGTGACTAAGGGAGGTGCTGTTGGTGAGGTCGCTGCTCTCCTCTCTTTCCTCTTCCTGTGGAAAAAATTAAGTATTTAAGGCACCAACAAACACTTTTTAAATTTACAACAAGTTCCATCTATCATCCTGTGAAGTCAGAGAAAGCAAATGGCTGGATAACTTGATTTGAGTTCCCTTTTTGCTGCACTGTTATCTTCACTAACAGGCTTTGGGTGCGCTTCATCTATAATGCAGAGTGTGCCTGAGCTTCACAAAGAGACTGGCACTACACACACTCAGCAAACGTGCCGCTGGAGAGTAGCTAAGTGCTAACTATTTGAAGGAACTTTAAGTGTGCCTAGAAACACAAGTTTGAAAGTTCCTCTGGATGAAGTGACGGAGGACAGAGAGGAAGAAGAAAATCAGAGTTAAACCAAGACAGACTTTCAAATCCGTGGGTCTTTTCAGTTCCTTGATATGTTTGAGCTTCTTTAAAAGCTTCATTTCTGCACTATCATAGTTTCAAATCAACTTCAAAATAACTTGTGACTTAAGTTCCCAACTCTTTGGACAAGGTTTGGTTGTATCCATACCTCCTGGATTTGCTGCAGCCTTTCCTCCAATGAGCTCATGGTGTCCTGTTCCCGCTTCAGCTTCTCCAGCCGGGCAATAAGCTGGGCAGCAAAATCTGAGGGCTCAACAGGGGTCATCTCCTTAGGCAGCCGGTGTGTCCTCTGCAGGGTGGAGAACACAGATGGAAGGACGCTTTTAGTGTAACTGTGCAGTGTTTCTGACAGATGCAATATGTTGCATTAATCCACTGCCCTTGCCCTAATCCTGTCTTGTTCCAAAAAGCCTGCTACTATTCCAAAAGCCCTAATCCAGATGCCCTTGCCCTCAAGCTAACCTGAACCTCCTCCACTGCCTATCCCTCCCCAGATCTTCTCATGCCCAGTGCCCTTGGCAGTGCCAGGCTGCTGGGCGAGGGGGAGAGAAAGGGGTAGCTATGGCGGGGTAGCAGTTGGTCTCGCTCGGAGGGGAGGCCCCCTGCCTGCACCCTCTGTAGCCCAACCAAGCCATCAGCTAGGCAGCCTCTGAAGTCAGTACACTTCAAAGGGCCCTTGTCAAACATCAAACGCACACTAGGGGTGGGAGGGACACGCAGCTTTAAATCTCCGAATAAAAGCCAGATATCGACAGAGAAGAGAGAGTGAGAAGAGGAGAGGGGAAGAAAAAAGGGAAAGGGGGACAAAATTAACAGCATGAAAAACGAGGAAAAGGATTGAGATGTGCGTTAGTGAAGTGGCAATGGAAGCGGAGAGCGAGTGAGGCAGAGAGGGAGGGAAAAGAGGGAGGGAGAGGATAGAGGAGTCAAATACTGGGAAGATCTGAGGGGAAGTAGTAATTTATTTCCCGGCTGCATGCAGGGCAGCTCAGAGGTACTCTAGTCACATTATCCTCCTTTTTCTTTAACTATATGCGCCAGCTTCTCTCTCTCCCTTTCTTACTTTTTTGTTATTCGGCACACTGGCTTTCTTGATTTTGACTCTTTTTTTGTTGTTCCTCTCATCTCTTTGTAGAGACGATGAAGGGAAGAAGAAGAAAGGCAAGCAGAGCTGCTGGCAAAGGAGCGCCAGCCCTGCACGGGGCCCCGGCTGCCTGGGGCTGGTGCATCATGGGAGACAGAGCCATCTCCAAATCAGGAGGGAGACATTAAAGGAGTGCAAGTGGGAAAGGAAAAGAGAGAGAATGAGAGAGAGAAAAGACAGAGAGGGAAGAGAGAAAAGAGGGGGAACAGACAACACTGTCAAACGCATGCAAAAACACACACACACACACACACACACACCTGTGTTTGGATATGAAGACAAAAGAATATCATATTTCTGTTCTTGCCTCAAACAGACCCACCTCCTAACCTGTGTCAATCTGTTCTAGCCCATTTCCTTTGCCTTCCCAAAATGACTCCAGCAGGTCAACAGCGTTTGGAATTTGAAGCACATACAGCGTATGACCAAAATACTAATAGGACCAGATATCAGGCTGAGAGCGGAGCAGAGTCTAAGTGAATAGTAATGTACCCTCTATTCATCTTTGAGTATGGGAACTCTGGTTTGGGTTATCATTTAGCCAGTTCAAAGAGTGATGTTAACAAGCATCTCAACCCTGTTTATTTTTTTATCATTGTTTATTACCTGTGCTTGAACCATGGCTATCAATGATGATTATACATATAAATCCACATAGCTTCATGGCTCACTAGAGTTACCGAGGCAGAATGCAAAGATGACAACAAAAGTTTATATTTACAGCTCTACTGAAGAGACTGGGATGGGGGAAGGTGTGTGTGTGTGTGTGTGTGTGTGTGTGTGTGTGTGTGTGTGTGTGGGGGGGGGGGGGGGCTTAAAACAGCAGAAAAAAAAGGGAAGTGATATGCAAATCCTGCCTTTCATTTACCCCGACTTTTATATGAAAACGAGCAGGGGAATGAAATATAGTATTCTGTCACAACAGGAGCTCTGAAAAAAATAAAATAAAGTCAAGCACAACTCCTCGAGGGAATCAGGACCCAGTTGTCTGTCAGTGTTGTAAAAGTTTGAGTTTAGCAGATAACAAAAAAGGAAACACTAAGACAGAAAGTAGAAGTCAGGAAGAAGTAGGACTTACAGGAAAGTGGGGTAGCGTTATCTGGCCATTGATCTTGACACTACGGTGCATCTCCCGTTGGAGCTGCTTCTTGGTGCCCAGCTTATATGGAGGGATCCCATCTCTGTAACACACACAGATATCATTTGTTAAAATTAGGAAGAATGTCTGAGATCAGTGAAAGAGAGGCTGCTGTACTAATTTTCAGGCTTTATGTTGTCCTTCTGGGCTCTGGTAGAAGCTTAACACAATTAAGAGCTCAAAAGCGTCTTCACTCTGATTACTTTTCTTGGGTTAATGTCTTTGAAAACTCTCATTTCTGCTACTGTATGCTACAGGCAATTCAAAAGCATTTGTCAACTCAGCACTCTGGAAGCCTCCTCCACTGTTGCCACACTACAAAGTTGCTGTAGCCAAGTAAACTTGTGCTTCTCTATTTAAATGACAAATTGTGGAATGAGACCATATTTTTTGGATTCCAAATCTGACCCAAGTTTGGAAAGAGAAACATTAGAAAATCCTGTAACAAATAACAGCTGGTATTGCATTTATGATGCCCCTATCAGGAGATACACTATTTAGTGGTGTCATGAGGTCTCCCTTAGTCCTCCTGGGACTTAAAACTAGCTGTTCAGACCAGCCTGTAGTCTCATCGTTGAATCACTTACAAGTTTTGTCCACTCTTGTTCTTGACATCTGACACTGTCACTTCACATTTGTTCATTGAATATGAGAAAGGCGCGGCACCACCTTTTTGAATGAACACTTTTAAGACTTGCTCTTATGACTAACTACGCAATGAACTTTATTTTTGATTAGCAACTTCTACTTGTCATGCAGGTCACAATACCTACACGCCAACTGTTGTTGCGCTAGTGCAATTAATCAATCTTTGTAGAGAAAGCGCCCTTAGGAGGCAGTTCATGATTGAAGTGCCGACACAACACCACCCAGTAACCACCCACTAGGCACATTACGGCTAATCAAAAGGTTGCAGAGCCCTTGAAGCCAAGGCAACAAAAACACACATAACAAAACACACCACGACAATGGGAGAGATATGCTAAACATCCCACTGTGGGCTTCAAAAGAAGAGCCCCACTGATAAGATTACATCAGTCTTTGTCAACTCTGACAGTAGTTGTTTAAAGAGCAGAAGAATCATCGCTAACCACAGGAGCTGGTTGGAGTAGGAAACTACAACGGGCTAAAGCTGGCTAGTAAACGCTATTTAAGTGGAGCTGGCTTTGTGGCTGTGATATATTAATATAAAAAAGATGTAGCTAGAAATACCACTAGTCTCTGGACAATTAAGCATTTATTCTGGGAGTCTTATTCTTTTTTTTTTATTCTGTGTCTGCTAGCTTTTCCAGTCAGCTGCCACTTAAGCTGGGCCAATTATCTTGGCCGTTTTGGCTGCTCAGAAGTGTCTGACCTAGCCCAAACGCTACTTTTTCTGCTGCCTCTTTGAAATCTCACACTCATGCACATATGCACCCGCTGCCATCTTCGTTTGGCAAGCGCTGTGCTGTGAGCCTCTGATCTCAGCAACATCAAAAGGCTGGTTTGTAAGATAAGGTAATGTTTGAAGTTGGTGCAGCAGCATTCCCCAGCGTCCAAGTAAATCCATAAATAAGATATAAGCAAAAAGAGAAAAAAATCCCCCCCACCACCACTTCTTCTACCCCCCTTTCCCAAATCCTCTTCTTCTTGTTATTTATCTGGGAAATGAGATTCAAATTTGCAGAGTGCCTTTTAACCACAGTAAAAGGACACACTAATCAAATTGTTCACTTGAATGAGAATAGAGGCAGCTGCGTTTTTATTAAAATCAGTTAGGGGTGGAGACATAAGGGCTGGTGACAAAGACAGGAGAGATCTCTGTGTCAGAAACCTTGCTCAGAACTTCAACACAATGACTTTCACACATGCTTCTGCTCAACAATCTATCTATTTTCTGTCTTTATTCACAAAAACAAGTATGAGACATCACATTTCAGGGTGATATTTTGAAGTAGATCATCACCTGGTGTTGCACTTGCAGGTGGTGTCCTCTACCAAAATCAATGCTGCATGAACTGTCCCCTCTGGACTACAAGCCATCATCCCTCAAGGCACAGAAAAAAATACACAGGAAACTCCAAAAGTAAAACTCAACAGCCCAGACAAACTTGTGTGCAAGCGAGCGCCCCAAACTTAGCAGCAAACATAACTCCAACTCAAAACTCACAACTTCCTCTTATCACACACTTGTTTTATTTTTTTTATCAATCTGAGTTGTCCCACCCTGAGGTACCATGTGATGGCAGGATGCTTTGTCCAGGTTGGGGAAGAGAAAACAGCCATAGACCCTTTCATGGTTTCACGGGCCCTTACTTTATGGGGATCTCCTATTCAGTTGTGCAAGTCATTTTCAAAGCAGCCAGCCACCCTCTTATCCCCCTAAGCTCCCCTCACCTAACAATAGGCTGAAAGCGATTCAGTTAAGCCCTTTATACTCTATGCACTTTATTTTCTCACTCACTTGCACTTCAAGCCTAACCACTTCTGCTATTGGCTCTGGTAGGTGGAGGACAGAGGCTGTGGAGGGTTTGGTGGTTGGAGGTGATTTTTTTTGGGGGGGTGCCCTGGTCTGGCCAGTGGAGGGGGGGGTTCCTTATGCCTAGTCCCAAGGTCTAGAAATGAGTAACCCCTGCGAAAGCCTCACAGACACATGATCTCAGCACGCCGCAGAGGCCAGTGGCAGGAAACCGACCCACCATGTGAGTAAGCCTCCTTTCATTTGGTGCCAACATTTTTCAATGAGTTTGTCTTGAGGCTCGAATGGCCATTTCCCTCCCCCTCTCCTTCAGCTCTTCAAAGGGAAAAAGCGATTAGATAATATGAAAAAAAACAAGTCTGTTGTGGCAGAAGGGTGGGTGGGATGGATACATTTCAACTTTGAGGAAAATGAGGCAACGCCCCCACCCACATCAAGACGCTCTCATTTTTTCTCCCTTCTCTCCAGCCTGTAACGCATCAGAATAGACTTCAAAAGGTCTTCAGACATAATGACTTTCCCAGAGTTATCTCCCTCAAGGCCAGAGTAACAACTACACATTAATAGAATTACCTGGAGTCAATCATAGAGGATAATTGAAATACATTACAGACCATTATTTTGCAACAGTTTGGTCCCCCTGGCCCCCAGAAAAGCTAAGTGTGTTGAACTACAAGGCCAAATATTTTCCTTCACACCGCTAGACTTTTTCCTGGAAAGGTGTTGACTGAACTCTGTCCTGGGCACGTTTACATACTTGGGAAACAATAAAACTCCCAGGGCTTTGGCCAGGGTCAGCAGGGAAAGAGCCTTTTGAAGATGCAACATTATCTCCACAGAGGGCTGAGTTTAAATGGACCAACCAGATCTTAATTTTAAGAAAAAGTTCAGAAAACATACACGCTGCTGTCCGTCATGGACATGGAATCATCTGTTGTGGCATCGCTGGAGATCTCACTGTCATTGGCACTGGTGGCGGGGGCAAAAATGTAACCAGAGTTGACAAAGTAAGGACTGGCAGGGTCTCCTCGACGGCTGGACCTGTGAAAGACAGAATAGAGCGTTTGCGAAGTTTTTATGTGAGGTCTTTGTCAGTTCAAGTGAAGTAGCAGGAGATCTGGAAACAGAAGGGTTAAGTTTATTTGCTGGCTTTCTCCTGGAGTGCATTTCTGTAGTAAAATAAAGTGACAGCATGGAGTTTGTTGTTCTCTGCAGATTAATGTAATTAGAGTCACTTTTCTTGGTACTTAGTGGCTCAAGGAACATGACAACATTATAATAGATCAAAGAATTTCTTCTCTTCCTTTTTAACTCTCTCTTTCATGTCTCTCCTCCCTTTAATGCAGGGGTTGTGTTTGGAGGGATTGAAAGGTGATGGTTGGTGACATGAGCCGCCTTTGAATTAACAGCAGCATTTCCTCCTACTCTCTTTACTATCCGTCCAAACTTTCGTTTGTACCAGACAGATACTCCTGCACTTTTTCACTCACAAACTTCACTCTCTCTTTCCTGTGAGTGTTTTCTTCTTCAACTTCTTTCTCTCTCTCCCTCTCGCTATCATCCAGTCTGGGGGCCCCTCCTTCACTTGCTCTCTCTTGCTTTCCTTTCTAAAGTCTCTCCCTGTGTCTTTCTCCTCTCTCCTGCTGTGTTGCATTCCTGTTTCAGTAGTGAAGGGGGTGGACAAGGAAGAGGGAGGAAAGAAGAGGAAGGGGGAACTTGAGCTTTAGAGAGGGAGGGAGGGAGAGGGTGAGAGGGAAGGGGGAAGGAGGGCCCCTTTCTTTATGAGAATGCCTTCTGCCGGGAGTGCTTAGAGGAGAACCCCAGCATGACTAAAGCCGTAGGCCCCAAGCACAAACCTGACCTTTGGAAGGTCCGCGCAAAGAGTCAGGTATTTAGCACAGCTGGGCTCTGCGCACCCCCCTCTCTTTCTCCATCTCTTTTCTTTCTTTCATGATCCCCCCTTCCTGTCTTCCCCCCTTCCCCTCCTCTTGTCTCTCCCTGTCTCCTTCCAAAGCATGCTTAGTCTCTGTCAGACAGATTTTTTAAAGGAGAGATAAAAGTGCTGGAAAGAAAAGAGAAAGGAAGGAAAACACTGACACACACATCCACACACACACTAAATGGCAAAGTGGAATTGGTGGTTGAAGCTGCAGAACTGAGCTGAGCATGTTTTGTTGTTGTGTTATTCTATCACTTTGGAGTCGACTATCAGAGGTTTTACAAAAAGAGGGGAAAAGGAATCTGTGCAGTGGCAAAATTAGTTCCACATGTTTGAGATGGAAATTGGTTGACCTAAAGAGATGGTGAGGGGCAGGGGGGGAGCGCGGGTAACAGAGGGGAGAAAGAGCCCCCCCCCTTTTTGCTTTTTTGTGAAAAACAAGAATGCAGGGGATCACACCAGGAAGCAAGGGGATGCCCACATGTCAACAAACCATTTTCTTATTGGTTCCTGACTCTACATGGTCACTGCAAATGAGAAACTTTGCTATGATGTTATCTGACATCCCCTTTCATGAAAGTTAAAATCCTCAGGGGAGTAAGTGTCATTTCTCACATTATTATTACAATTCATGCCATAAGTTCACCTCAAATATCAAATACTGTGAGGTGAAATCGACAAGAATAGTTTTGGTTAAAGTTAGGTTGCACTTTTTCTTACTTGAATGAGGTATCAAGTCAATGTCAGACCTCTAAGAAACAATTGCGCCCAGATGTGAGGACAAAGCAGTGGAGTGGAAAACTTTTTTAGCCACTTTGATGCAGGCTCATGCATAGAATCCAGTTTTTGAAAATGTTCCTGGCTTGAAAAGATTTCAGCTGTTGGACAATGTGTGGGACGAGCTCTCAAGATAAAAGCCCAAATGCTTTCCACAAACAGTTCTGCTTTCATCTCTGACCAAGGGAACAAAATCTCTGCTTGGCATTAGAACGACTGCACACGTTCTTTTAACTCTGTATTAGCATTTTTATGGGTTCACGAAATTTCGTGAATTTCCCAGTTTGGGATCAATTAAGTATATCTATCTATCTATCTATCTATCTATCTATCTATCTATCTATCTATCTATCTATCTATCTATCTATCGTTTATGGGTTAGTGAGATTTTCTGACAGTGTGCAATAACTTTGAGGCTTGGTGAGTACAGAAAGTAAAGAATACAGCATAACTTGACAATAAGATGATAGTTTCATGTTGTTCTAACAGTTATCAGGCTTGGTGTCTGAATCCGTGCCTAAACCGGAGGAAGGGTTTCAAAGCACAGGAAACTTGAGCAAGCCAGCAGAGGGCTGCCTGCAAGACACCATTTACTTAAAAGGAAGGCTCAGATCCATTGATGTTTTGTACCCACCCCGCCCCTCCACCCCTCCAACCCCTTGACTAACTGCAAGGCAGGAGGGCACAAATATACAGGCATGTTCCTCTGAGACCCTTTGATCAAGTGCCTTTATCTCTCTCAGAGGCATTTGTGAAATAACTGCCAACTGCCACATATTCACTCAAGTTTAACTAATGAAGAGCTAGTGTTCAGAAGAAAGGTGAACCACACTGGAGAAGCCAGAAATGTAATAACCCAGACACGCATGCACTTAGGTGAGAGTTGCTCTTACCTGCAAGTATTCTCAAGCACTTCGGCTGCTGACCTGATGGTAGCAGTAGCCCTCAGGGTTTTTGCAGAAAGTCCAACCACAGAACCTAATGCTTTTGCCTTCAGGTCGGTACAACTCCACTCCTCTTCTTCCATAAGAGGAGGAAGGTATCCGCACATCAGCTTCAGGCTGCCGAGACTGCCGTGGTTCATGTACGCCGCATTCTCGCAGCCGGTGCGCACGTATTCGAGGTATATGTCAGAGGTCAAAAACATCTGGTACGCGTTCTCTTCCATGTTGGCCTGAATTTCCGTCTGTGCCTGGTCAAACATGGCAGAGTCTATTTGTTGCTTCTTAATACTATCCCTTATGAAGGTCTTGGTGGCGGGTTTCAGCTGCTTGGCGACAATGCTGTTGTTCTCGATGTACCGCTTGAAAATAACTTTGGCAACTCGCAACGTTTTGGTATCCTTTAAGTCCATTTGCCTGAAGCCATTGCAGGCGAACCAAAAGTCCAAAGTGTCCACGCAATTCTCCCGCTCCAAGAAGGTCCTAAAGAGTTGAGCGCCGTCTTGGTCGCCCAGGAGAAAATGCAGAGACTTTGTCCACCGGACTAGTGGCGAGTCCGGCGACGCGCTGCCCTCTGGCTCCCCGAGACCATCCTCGTTCCTCCGCGGTGTGGAGCCGGGAGGCGCAGCAGCGGGGATATCTTTAACCTTGCTCTGGGCTCTCATTTTGGCAGATCTGCTGGCGTTGTAGCATGACGCTTCTCCCTCCTCCCCCGGTACCGGAGGACGAGGAGCATCTTCTCGGAAGCTACTGCTGATGTGCTCCGTAAGCGCCCTGCTCATGGCTCCAGCTCCGGTTGCCGTGTGAGAGTGCCGTCGTGCCTCCACTGAGCTCCAGCCTAATCCTCCTCACTCTCTAAAAGCAGCGGGGGAGCTTCTCAGCTCCTCTTCACTCTGAAACACAAAGTATTGATCTAATCAAAGCCAGATCCTGCTGAACTTCAAAGAAAGACATCAAGTAAACAGTCCCTTTCAAAAACCCTCGCCCGGTTCACAGAGAAAGGAAATATGAAAGGCTTCTTTCGTTTCATTTATCTATTTATAATCTAAATGAGAGATCAACTGCAGCCTACATTCTCGTCCTGCATTGATCTGTCACATCAAAAAACATTTTACAAGAATAATCATCTCACACAGCCTCACTCTTCACCAAAACCGTAGTCTAACAACTGTGGCTTACACGTGTTTTCCTAACGAGTCCATGTCACAGGCTTCAACTCCAATTAATTCCCAATCTGTTTCGGACGACCGTACCCTACCCCTGTCTGAATAACACACACACGCTGCCACACATACACGCACACAACTCGTCTCCACTCAGATCCCACACTTGTCCTCACCATCCCAGAAATGTACAGACGAGAGGAAATGCATCTGATCTGCACCACAATGACCTCAAACGTAGTAGTGTATGAGGGCTAAGGAGCCCCGCGGGAAACGCCAGTCGCTCATGCGTTAATGTAAGCGATCAATCGCCTTGATATCTACCCTATAAGGTTATTACAGCACATTATTAAAACCACAGCCCCGGCAACGTGTCTGAACTTCCAAAGCGTCTAAAAGGCTTGCTATAAAACCTTATTCAGAATCTGCGCGGTTTAAACCGGAGACTCAGCGCCAACAGACACGCTTTTCTTAAATCGATGAGCAGCTGAAACGACATAATCTGTGTGGTTTACTGTTGCAGATGCAACAGACACGTTCACTTAATCTCAACAGGCAGTACAACTCTGCAGCGCTATACACCCAATTCGTATTTAAGCATATTAATGTGCGTAAAACGACATACCATCGCCGCGCAGATCCAACCAAAGTAAAACGAGCTGAAAAGTTGAAGAATTACTCCATTTGTGGTACAGAGTCGAAGACAGTCCAAAACTCTTCAAATAGCAGTCCTGTACAAAAAGCAAAGACGAACTATTCAAAGCCCGTGCCGTGCCACATGTGTCCTGTGTCGCTGCAAAACAAACTGTAGTATGCTGTACCCTGTCCCATTCAACAACTGACCTCAGAGTAGGCAGGCTCACTCCCTATGTAGATCACTGAGGGTGTCAAAATCTGGAGGAGGTAAAAGAGGAGGTGGAGGGGGGCTCTGATAGAAGAATACATCCCACTTTTTTTTCCCAGCAATAAGACGCACAACCCAACAAATATTCGGTTTTTATCCGGGCTACACATTCAAACGCACACATACAGAGAAACACACACACACACACACACACACACACACACACACACACACACACACACACACACACACACACACACACACACATAAGCTTCTTATCTATCTCACCGTATTTCTCGCCCACAAACAAGAAACATAGCCCGCATTTCTCAACTTCAAAGCTCAGCAGCAGCACATCAAAGCGGCCAAGAGAGGGGGCATGTGGAACAGCTTTCCTACAACTTACCATCCATGTACCCGAGTAGCCTCCCTTTCTGAAAACGTGAAAGCAAACTAGTCCAACAACAGGCTGTACCTTCTACCGCGCTCGTCTGTCCTGTAATGTCCTTTAACATTGGACAGCTTGAATAAAATAGTGAATAAAAGTGAGAAGCGTTTTTCTCTCGACTTTTCCCCAGGTAGTGTTTCAAGAAGTCATGGCAGGCGGTAGAAATCCTCCGGGCTGTTTCTAAATCAACAGAGCTGAAGGTTTAACTGCGGACTTCAAAGTAAGGAACCGCTGGCCTGGTCCCGGAAGATACATAAAAACACAGCGTCTGGTCTTTTTATTAATCAAGGAAATAAAGCGCAATAAGATAAACCAGTCAAAGAACGGATGAGCAGAAAAAGCTTTGAATTAGAAAATTAATGGTTCAACAGTTTATAGTCGTGAAACCTTTGCTTGTAGACGTCCTGTGCGTTTATTTAACTTTTCTAGGCTGGGAGAGAATTTACATACATGCCAGGACCTTATCAAAGACAAGCAATCTAGCCAACTCCCCGGGGCTTTTGGAGCGTAAGAAGTAAGTGATCTACCGCGCCAATAGCATTATCCTTACAGTCTGTTAGTTACCACACAGTCTCAACAGGAAAGCAGAGCAAACAAAAGCCATACTTTTGTTGCCTTTGGCTTCTTTAAATGACAGGCGCAAGATCAGAGCGTTTACCAAGTGAAGGTGTTGCTAGTATGACTGAGTTTTATCTGTTTATTTATAATCTCCTGTTGAACAGCTATAAAGGTCTTTTTCTTTTGGGCTACTCTACAATGTGTACAGAGTTTGGGCTGGGGTTATATGTGTGCAATTCAGTAATGTTCAGCCTCTATTACAAATTAACCAGAGCAAGGGGACTGAACGTGTAATTCAAACGGTTAAATATAAATTGAAGAAATGTCCAAAATGGTTTGATGTATTCTTTAAGTTATTGCCCTGATTTTGATAATCCTATAGAGTGTAACTGTCAAATAATTTCCTTATTAGTCACAGGCTTTTTAGCCACAAAGATGTCAACCTAACACACATGCCAGTTCCACATTCAGAGAAAATGGCACAGCATGACATTTTGATTGAAATTGGACAGAGAGCAAAGGCAAGAGCTGTTTCCTAGTCTTTAATTCACATGACTTCCCTAATGTCATTGTGACAGAATCTTAAAGAGTGGGTTAGACAGTGATCCAATCCCATGGTACTTCAAAGCCTATATTGTCCCTTTGATGTTGCAAATCAACTTTAAAGGAGAATATAATTATATAATTCAGAGGATTCAAATTCACAAAACTCCTATGATGGCACAGGACAAGGAGAGTAATGAAGTTCAACTTCTTTGGGGTCCCAAAGTGGCTATGAATAAATATTGATATTGATATTGATATTGATATAGATAAACAATACCATTTATTGTGTGTATTTGAAGGTTGGTTGTTCGCATCTTACTAAATTTTTGCAGTTACATGCATGCATTACTGGACAAAAAGCACCCACAGTGTCTTATCTTGGTTGCTTAATAAAGCTGCAGCCACACTGGAAACAAGCTTGAAACATGTTTCCAACTTGGGAAATGCAGTTCTTACAAAAAATGCACCCATGTAATCTGAACAATATCCAGTTTTTCTCACAGGGGTCCACAGTTGCAATTTTCCTGTGGTCTTAGTGAATGAGTATTTGCTTTAGCTTTTTCTTGCATGCCGAAGCATTTATCAAAATAAGTCTACTGAAACAGGTTAGAAACATGGTGTTTCCAAAAGTCTGTTCAATGGCTGACAGTGTAACAGCAGCAAGCATGACTCTTTCTCACTCTATATATCTTAGTAAATGTGTCCAAACTGCAAGATAACTCCCAACATCTTGCACTACCTGTGAGTTGGAAGTCAAAAGCACAATATGGGTCATCAGCATCAGTGCAGAGATGTTCATAGGGCACTTGGCAGATCAGCAAGGCCCAAATCAAAGCCACGAAATGAGTATCCATACTGTTATCTGCACACTAAAGTCTGCTTTAAAAGGGGAAATGAGATACTGCGGGGTTAAAGAATCTAATTTTGAAGCGTAGGGCAATCATAATAGTGGCATATTCACATTTAGGATAAGATTTTATCCTCACTCAAATTAAATCATGCTGCACATATCACTGCAAAAGTGCCCACTGACAGTTTGATTTTTGCTGACCAGCCAGAAGCTCTGGTCATACTTCGTTCACACAGTTGGCTTCAGATGATACAAGTTTGAGACCACTCATTTGTTCATGATGTTTTTTTTTCTTCAAGAAAATAAAAAACAGAGATTAGCAGAGCCAGAATAAAAGTCACTGTCCTTTTTGATCACTCTGAACCCATGAGCCCACACCTGTTGACCCTTGAATGCCCACTCTAATGGTTAGCAGTGACAAAAGAGGGAGAGGGTGCTGTAAAGTAGCCACAAGACGCTCCTTTTTGATGTTGACCCTGCCCTGACCCTTTTGTTGGAGGCCCTAACCGTTTCACAGGAAGATCCAAACGCTTTAAAAGCACAATACAGGACGACAGTGCTGCCACTGACTTGCAATGAAGGCCCAATAAAAAGAGGTGACCCGGAGGCTAATTGAGAGCTCATGGTTGGGAAGAAATTAAAGGCATCTGGTGCATCACTGCAGATTGGAAATGAAGCTCCTCTTTAATTAGGGATTGCTTTAAAGGTGTAGAGAAGGTGTGCTTTCGCTTGGTGTCATACAAGGATACATGGAAACTGACTGAGGATTTAATGACAGCGTAGTGTAGGGTTGGTTTGTCAATAAAACCTTTTCTTTTGTTACTTCTTCCTTTCTTATTGGTCTATTCTGGTGAGCTCTTTCATGATGTATCATTCGTTGCATCAGAGGGGCTGTTTTCCCTTTTTTTGCCATTTCGCATGAAAGTTTGGGATTTGTATCATATCACACACAGCTCATGGTATACATACACACAATGCCAGCAATAAATTCTGTACAGCCTGTTTTATAACTGTTATCCCCACACAAATCCTTCACTTGTGCAAAAATAGCACAAAAACAGAGGAAAGGGTGGCCAATTGCAAATAACCCAATATTTTGGAGTTCAAAGGCTGGGGTGGGTTTGAGTGATAATTTTGTCTCAAGCATCACCATAAACACTAATAAAATTAAGTGCGTCGGAGGGAGGAGTGGGCGTGGCCAGGCGTCCCTTTGAACAGACCCTGTGATCAGTTCCCCCTCTCAATTAGCGTATTGTCCACTTGTCCTTTCAGCTGCGAGGGAGGGGGCAGTCTCCCCCCTAGCTTCCCTTTGAAGTGATTATCCCTTTATCTCAAGCCTGAGCGAGGAATATCTTGGGGGACAATGGCAAATTAAAGCCCATATGGAGAAGCGTGAATGTCTGTTTGTAGGCTCAGAGAAAAATAGAAAAACGAGGAATGATAGAGAAACAGCGTGAAGAGAGAGAGAGGAAAAAGGGGGCAAATAGCATCATTCTGTTTGCATGAGCTGAAGGTTGAGTGGTAGATGTCAACACTCATCCAAGAAAGTAATTTAGGGCTTGTGCCTGAGTTGACACTTGTAGCGAGTGACTTTAGCAGAGCTAAAGGAAAGATGGGGGGGGGGGGGGGGGGGTTCTTTCTTTCATGACAGATGGAAAAAGACAGAGAGACAGAGAGGGAGGATAGGAGAGATAGAAGGATGAGCATGAAGAAGAGAGAGGAGTGCAGTTGTCAGCAGAATCAGATGGCGGTCAGGCAGACAGGCTTGAAGAAGATACAATTAAAGTGTGGAGTTAAGACGGGCTTTGAAGTTGGACATGGTGCATAACACCCTTAAAGTTTGAGAAGCCAGCCATTCATCCGCTTGTTATGGCTTGTTAAGACCATTCGTCTTTAAAGACCTAATTTAAGAAAATAAACTTGGATTTCAACTTTGGGAAAATAAATCAAGAGTGAACAAAACCAGGTAAAGTCTTCAGCCAGGTTTAAGACAAAAAAACTAAAGTGAATGGTCATTTTATGAAGCCAGAGTGAGGGATTTACTGAAGAAGATGCGGGGGGTGCTCAGGATGAATAATTACTTTCTCTTCCCAATCCTTTTTTTCGGTGGCTTAAAAGTTTAATAATGTATAGAGACAAAGTCTGTGATGCTTTGCCTAATCCGTTTGGGCTTGACAAACCTTTGTGGTAACCAAAAACCAATCAGATGTAAGCAAATGTTTGCCTAGCCAGCATGTATAGACAAAGTGAGTGTCTCTTTCCTCCCACTGAGATGGTATGAACTAAAATACATTATACAACACAACACTACATCGCAGTTAACTCAAAGAATAAAATATGATATCAACATCAGATTAGAAATATGTGCAAAACATACTCCAACATAAATGCTCCTCCTGCTCGAGTGCTCTGTATTACTACATCATTTGTTCCCTCAATAATTTCACTGGCACTACTCCATGTTTATCATTTGTGTTTGTTAATTAATCACACTTGACAAATCAAGAGATTCTTCTTCTGAGCATTGTCTGACTGTTCGCTATGAGCTCAGTTGGTCATCCTTAAGGAGCATCAGACAAATGATGCAGAAAAACTCTTCATATAAAGGAACAGTCAAGCCCATCAGAGGCTGAACACAACCTGTCACAGACCAACGCCGGTTTTACACTGACATCAGCTAACAAGCAAAGGCTGGCAGTAAATCCATGCACCTATAAAGGCAAGTAAAATGGCCGTATTGATCAAAGACCCACTGTTTGACTGCATGGTGAGATGAGACAGGAAGAAAGATAACACTGACACCATACAATCCAAAAAGGCGCTTATTGCTTGATTTTTAATCGTTACAGCCAGCCAATTTGAAAAGATTCATAGGGAGGTAAGATGTAAGTGGCAGCCTCAGCTAGGAAGTTTACATGCACAGTTAAGTCAAGCTACAGCCATAGCTCAGTTAGGCAGTTTAACTGGGCGACTGTCCTTGTCTTAGTTTACATGCAATAAGCAAGAATCAGTTTATTGACAGACGCAGGTCCTGCTACAGTAGGTGGGAAATCCCCAATTTCACTTGTTTCCATCAGGTCATCTCTGTGCGGTTTGTTAGGAAAGTTTAGTCTTTTCTGCGTCCTTGGTTCATCTGTTGAGGTTTCGTTTACTACCTGCTTCCTAGCAGTGCATCCATGCTGTTCAATCACCAGCTCAGAGCCTTGCATGCAAACACTGGAGCATTCTCAAAATGCTCAAGCCAGTTTAGTTCGATTGAGTCGTATACCTAACAGAGTAAATTGATCTCCAACCACATTATCCAGGTCTGTTAGTCAGGCTGTGAGGAGTTTCATTACGGTCAGACAAATGTGTTTACATGCATTTTAAAAAGTCCAGTTTCTAAATTAAACTAAATTGTTGTGTGGACAGACTAAAGTGTGTGTGGACATAAGGTGAAGCTAGAGTAGAAGTGCCTGAAACTCTCTATAATTTTCACAAGGGGCTGACTTCACTGATTACAAATAAATCTGATTATATAGGAAAAACTAGGGAAAATGACCTAATTTCATATGTAAACTTTTTTTTTCAGTTTGGCAAAATACTTGTGGCATTCATTCAGTACATAAACATGATGTTAAAAAGAGATCAATGGCATTTTCCTACTAAAACTGAACTTTTAAATACATGTGAATCTATTAGTCCAACTGAAATCCCTCACAGTTAGATTTCTGAAAGTTTAACCAACAAATTTATAAAATAAAGTTTAAGGATCACGTTTTTGTTGTTGCATATATTCACCTCAGTTAGACTCTAACTAGCCTGGACATTCTGCACATGCAGCACAGTTCACATGCCGGGTATCTGACCAGGAAGCCGAACAGTGTAAGCTGGGCAACAAACAAAACTTTGACAGAAGAAGTAAACAATTATGGCTATGAAATTGTATGAATGACAGTACAGAGCTGTAGAGTAGTCATGTGTTCACTGTTAAACATACAGTCAGGTGACCTCTTGTTAATTTATTTCTCAGTCTGTGGTGTTTCCTCTTTTTGGGGAGTACAATTAAAAGGACCTCTCTTCAAGCTTCATTTTCAAATCCAAGATACTGCAAACACTTTTTCCAATGCTTTTGAGCTTAACTCTCACAATCCAACCTGCACCTTCACTTCCATATTGTACACACATTACAGGTCATTTTTACTGAGAAAGTTCAGAATCATTAAAAACAATCAAATTACCCAACAGGTCTACTTGAAAACTTCAAACTAAAAGATCAAAGGTAATTCAAGCATCTGTTTACAATGCTTGAACCCATGGATTGGATTAACATTAGGATGAATATCTGTGCCACCAGCAGCCACTTTTAGGCAACTTATATTCTTATCTTCTTCCCAGTTTCATGACTTTACAGGACACATCACACTTGCTGCACTGCAAACATGTAAATGTATCAGAGCCCAGAATTTTAGAAACATGAGTCTCCGATGAATGTGCAGTCATGTGCCAAATTCCTCATTGAAGCAAACTGGCACTAATATACTTGTCATAGGGATGCAGAAAAATCGAAGCTGTCAACTGGATGGTTTGGCATATGAAATAATTACCTGTCAATCATGTGTGATGATGGTGAGCTTTGTTTGCACATCCTAAATGTTACAGTATGTATGTGGCTCTGGCTCCTCTGGCTCCTTAGTGATTAGATTTGAGAAAAGCTCTCCCACTGATAATACAAAACATATTTCATTTTCCACAAGCATGCTTGTTTATACATGTTATGGATCAGATTTTTCCATTATGCTTTTGGTTGGTCTATGTGTGAAAACTAATAGGTTTGGATAGAGTATACAAATGTAAATGTTACAGTGACTTTTTCCTGTGTTACCCACACATTGTTTATACAGTTTTTGACTAGTGTTAACACATCTAGCAGTAAATTAAAGTCAAAAAAGAAACTACAGGACTGCATGAGTTTTGCACTCATGCAAACTCGTGCATGAGTGTTGTATGATGTTAACTACTTTTTCAGCCTCCCAGGGTTTAAGTGTGAGTCCAACATGTTGAGAACTGTTCCTCTATGACAGACCTGAAAGTATCATTCTGCTGAAGAAACTGCAAATACAAAGAAAAGCTGGTGAGAGGTGCAATAATTTTTGTGTGCAGAATCTTCATAAAAATAAAATAACAATAAAAAAAACCCCACATCGATCAGTTTCATTTTGCAGCCCTTTTCACTTTGCACCTAGCTGCTGTACTCCTTTCTTGATTTCAACCTGGATAGCTGGATTTGTGAATGCAAGTGACTGAATTTTTCTCTCTTACTTGATTTAAGGACCCCCCCCCACCACCACCACCCAAAGTTTCTATTTGAAGTGCCAGTGAGTTGGTATGTGCATGAAGCGGGTTAAAGTCAAGTAAATTCCCTGTGAGTGAAGTGAGCATCATTCATGTTGAGCTGAATTTCTTTGCTTTATATTCTGTACCGCTTGCTTTTGTTTGTCAATATTATGTTTCCCCTGTTTGGCTGTATTTGAATGGAAAGTCCCTGAAAATGTCAGGGCCTGAAAGTCCTGAAATTGTCCAAAAATGTTAACAGTCAATGTGTAAAAATGGCTAATGTGAGGACAGTTAGTGATAACAGTCAATACTTTTACATGATGTTAAAAACAAATTGATTTATACAGTAGTCTTATTAAAACTGTGCTTTTGAAAAAGGTCTTCATGCCAACCTGTTAATCGCACTGAAATCGCATCTGGCCCTTAAAATTTTCTCAGTCAGACTAACAAACCTAGATAAAGTGGTTGAGGATAAGGTTTCTCTTAAGGATTCTCTTGCATGCATAAAGCTCAATCAGGTCTGAACTGGGCTGAGTGTGCTGTGCATGCTCCATAGTTTTGCACACCAGGCTTTGACCTGTAGTCTAAAAGCATGAATGCATAAAACGAAGCCAGTTAGTGAATAAAAACCTCAAAAGAAGAAGATGGAAAGTAGAGAGAAATGAAAGCAAACATTCATGGAAAAGGTGCAGAGCGACAAAGTTGCTAGTGTTTACACTGATGGACATAAACTTGTTTCTTGATTGTTGTGGTCATGATTATGACTTTTAGTTAATGGCAATGATAAATCCAGTACTTCATAATTATTAGAAACTTCCTAAGATTAATCAAAAAAGGATTTAATGTACAGGAAGTTATGAAAAGATAGTTATTTCATACCCTCAACACTTGGCAGAGGCTCCTTTAAAATGTTTAACTTTCTTAGGGAGTTGATCGGAAATATGCAGCTTTTTCCAGTTTGCTAATTTTTTGATATGCATTTGTATCATAGGACAAAAACAGTGGCCAAAATCAGTCCCCTAATCAAGCTATGACCATAACTCAATTGTGTGTGAGTGTTTGAAAAGCAGTAGCACTTTAACATGTTGTTCAAAAAACTGTTTACTGCATTAGACTGACTAAAATGTGGAACTACAGTCAAGACTACAGTTTCTATGAAATCCGTGCATGCAGAGTTCACCATATTTCCAGTGCTTGAGTCAGGCTTCATATAAGAATCATCCTTGCATGCATGAATGTGCTTTTGTTTTTTAATTGAGTATAAATATGTGTGGTTTTGATGTCTTTGCAAAAGCAAGAGAAGAGTTGAATTGTAACCCAAGAGTTAAAGTCATGTATTGAAGATAAAGGACATCCAGGATACAGCAAAAGAAAGCCATCTTCTAGTACACAAACTCTGGCCAGCTGCATAATGTTCCTTTATTCCTGTGAGAGTTTCTAAATCCATAACTAAAACTAAGATAAAAGTGTTCTGACCCTATTGTGGGATGTTTCCCAGTGTCATGCAGCTACTCAGCAGGTGTGCAGAGGGAGGGTGAGTTTCAAAACACGCCGCACAGCAGATAGGCAGAGAGGAACATCAACAAAGCACTGCTGCTCTGCACCTCACTGACTGCTCTCTGACAACCGACAGGGAAAACATTCCCACAGAGAGAAAAAAGATGGAGAGAGGATAGAGTGAAAGAGAAAAGAGATATAAAGTGAAAAGACAGACAGAGAGGAGAGATGTGAAGTTAAAGACCGAAAGAAAAGAGAGGATAGGGCGGTCAGAGAAGAGAGGAAGACTGACAGAAGAGACGGGTAAGAGAGAGAATGAAGGAGCATTCTTCTGCTTGTATTCATGTGGTATTTCTTGTATTTATGATTAAACAGCACTGCATCCAGGATCAGGATTCCCATGTCACTCCTGATTAAAGGCACATAAAATTTGAGCTCTCTGAAGAAGGGAGCAGCAGAGAAACCAAGAAGAAACAAAGATGCAAAGACACACAAATGGAAACACCTGTAATATCGATCTCTCATTTAACAAACCTCACATATGTAGAGCTGAAATAATAATCAACTGTTAATGCAGGTAGGAGCCCATGTCATTTTTGCAAGACCCCTGAAGCTGTGGTCTCTCCTCATACGTATAATACTCTAAACTTATTTGTCTCTTAGCTGATACTTTGTAGTCCTTTAGTAAACTTGAATTTCTATTTAAAAAAAAAAGATTGATCAACTTTGTTTTACAGGATTTCAGATATGGAAATACCAATAAATGATCTTTAAATATTGATCTCTGTAATTTTAAGATTTCGAGTTAAATTGTTGTATTAAAGCCAAAATTATGTGATTAAAAGTCACAAACATGAGATAAGAAAAAAAGACATAGTTTTGGATTAACATAATTCATAATTATTACCTACAATACCATAATTTCATGAATTATGTCAATGATATAAAACTTCACTTTTAACATTATATTTCCTGATTATGTCTTATGATTGTAAGATTCTGATAGTATTATAACCCACCACTGTGGTTTTACTGTGTTGTACGTGATTATATCTCTCAATAAATGTCAGTTTAAAATGTCTGTGACTCAAAACAAATTTCACTTCCAATGGTATCAGTCTATTTTTTTTTAAACATAAATGACAGTGTGAATAATTGACTCATAGATTCTATTGAAAATATGTGGCTTCACTTCCTCTACTCAGAATAATCTAACGTGAGGCTACATTGGACCATTTATTTAAATTTATTTTGATACAGAACTGTCCCAAGAATAAGCTTCTCAGTCTCTGTGATAGTCAGCTGACATGCACCTGAGTGACTTTTTCTCCCAAATTCATGACTTTTATTTTACAGTTTTACACCAAAACACCTTAAAAAATAACCTCACCAGCCAACACCCACTTCTTTTACACAAAATATGACTTAACCTTCCAGTTCAACAAAAGTGAAAGTGCAAGTATTTCTACTTGTAGGAAGTCTAAACAGAGGTGCATGAGGCTAACACAAACTATTGAAGAGGTTTAAGAGAGTTCACCAGGCCCTGCATTTATGAGCAGTTCCACCATAAGAAGGAGGGAAGAGGAGAGGAGAGGGGAGGAGAGGAGAGGGGAGGAGAGGAGAGGGGAGGCTGCCAATCATCACTGCTCTTCCAGAGCTGCTGAATGTGTCAACAGAGCCGTGTTAGAGAAGCATGCTCTCTGTTTGCCCTCCCACACCTGAACATGATGGGTAGACGCAAAGAAAAGGAGTGAGGAAAAGAAAGACCAAAATCCCCCCCCCCCCCCCTTTCTGCCCCTTCTCCCCGTCTTCCACCTCCTCCCACTCAAAATAAAATCTGGTACCATAAAATGTAAGAGCGGGCAAACAGCTCCTCCCCAGCTTGTCGGGGAGTTTGTTTTAAAGTGGAAATGAGCCTGATGGCGCACTTGGCGATTAGCCCCGCGGCTAACATGAAAGGAGAGGAGAAGACAGCTGCTAATTTTCTCCTTTGACCTTTGGCTCCCGCTGGTATTTCATACAAACGCTGATTTATTGGAGGAGCCTAACAGCTCACTGCTACTGGAGGGATTACCTTAAGGAGAGGGAGGGAGAGAGAGAGAGAGAAAGAGAGAGAGAGAGAGAGAGAGAGAAAAGCTGACCCCTAGGACTTTCTGTATCTCAGTTCATTCATTTCATCTTTTTGTTTCTATCTGTCATTTTTACATCATATGTCCTTCTCCTCTCTTCCATATCTCTTTGTCGATTCTCCTTTGCTCATCTGTCTGTCTGCTGTTGTGGATTTCTAACTCTTTATCCTTTTCCATCTTTGTTTGAAGTCTGTTTCTGTCTGCATTCGTCCTTCATCCTGTCGAGCCTTTCACTCCTGCATCTTTGGCGCTCTTGAAGTATGTAATAAGAAACTACAGGACATTTGGTGTATGCATAAGACTCATCTTAGATTGTCATGAAACTCTGCTGGTTCAGAATCAAACTCAGACACCCTGACGTCCTGTGGTGCAAAAACGACACCCTCTTCAATGATCTTTCTCAGTGTCCGGTTGTGAATTGTGTCCCAGCACTTAAGCTGCAGGGAGATGCATAATATTCATAACACTTATCAAACAGAAAAGAACTGAGATAGGTTAATATTTTTTTAGCTCTTTTAAATCATGTAACGCTACTTAAAAGCTGAAAGATAGACAATATAAAGCCTGAAATTAGCATAACACCTCCTCTACAAGTACTGATGATGAAACATGAAATGATTTAAGATGGAGTTGTGCTTTTAAAGGACTTAATACTTTGAGATCAAAACAGATTCAGTTTTCTTAGACAAAGCTCATCAATAGCACACAAAATAATTAAAAAAACAATAGGAAGTCGAGCTGCTTCAACGAGAGCAGCTGTAGTCCACATCCAGACACAGCAATCATGGCAGTCACAACACCTCAATGTATTCAAGTAACTAAGGACTTTGGTTGCTCTACTTTTCTAAGCCAGTGTTGGGCTCAGTGTGAATGCGTTGTATTCAGTAGATTTTAGTAACCATTATCCGTTCATGAATTACTGTCAAGCCACCACATTTATACAAAAGCGAGGAGTGTTTATATTTCAAATTTACAATTCAATTTACATTTGCATTATTATATTTTAATTTACCTACAAAAGCTGTCAAATGCAGAAAAGTTTGTCTGACCAGCATGCCAGCATCAGGAATAGTGTCTCATCGCAACTGATGCTGTCTGTCTATACAGTGTCCAACAGAAATACTTTTGTTACGACATAAAAACAAACCACACTGAATTCATCTATGAGCAGGAAATCAGTCTGACATGTCAGAGATGGAAGAGTATTATGTAATTTTCTATATTTGCACTTTATAAACACAAACACAGGACCCCCCTCTGGTAAAAAAAACAAGTTCAGGTATCACAGTTTTATCATGGATGAAATATATCATAAACATACAACCATCTTTGCTGTCAGTACAAGCATCAGCGACGTTTTCCCATCCTGCGATATTGTGGCATTTATTTTTGCG